TTCACATGCAAGTGTACTGTTATTAGCTTAGACCCGAGAAGACAAGATGCCTTAGCATAGAAAATGCAGTATGCCCTTACGACATGATCATTAGCAAGATTATATGAAATATTAATTTGAATTTGAATAATTTAGTTCCTCGAATTTGTTCAATAATTTGTTGAATTAACTCCTTTCTGAATTATAATGAATATATTGGTTCGAAAAAATGTTTCTGAACATGTCCCACATCGATATTACAAAAATTGTTCGATCCCGGGATTGAATTCCGATCCCAGGATTGAGTAAACGTCGGGATTTTGCAAACCCTACTTATGTAGCGCGTGAATAACGTTAAGATGCAATCTTATGTTTAGATTCAGAAGCAACGAAGCGATGAAGTCGCATTCGAGGATATATAAGGGTCGAGGACTTGAACCACGACCTTGGACTAGATAAAAACATTTCGAGATGTCGGATCATTAAAAGCGATGATCTGGAATAGGGAATTCAGGAGAAAAAGAACAGCCCTAATTACGATCGTCTATTAGAAATAGTGCGGTAACTACGATATCGTGTCTATTAGAATTAATACGGTAACTACGATATTCAAACCGAAGAAGAATAAATTAACAAATTAAAATTAGTGGGTGCCAATGCTGCGGAAATATGGATAATAGGTGTGAAGTAGCAAATTACTAAAATATGAACTGTGGCTATTCACTCTAATGAGAAATATTGCATAAATTATCTATTATTCATTCCAATTTTTGTTACGTTTGCTAATCATTAGTGCTTTCTCAAGAGACAAATGGATGAATAAGCAATACGGACAAATGTTTTGTGAGATTATCACATTGATCACAATTTGCTCAATATTTCATGAACAGCATTTTAATTATAAGTGCATAATGCAATGTTATTTCATGCGACTTGATCGAAACAATGTGATCATTGTGTTATAAAGGAGAACGAATGTAACGGCAACAACTTGCAATGATTAATTCTTGAAAATAAGCTTACTTAAGCATTAAAATGCTGCTACTCAACATCAGTAATCTCTTACGCTTAAAAGCACATGAATCCTTGCTCTGAACTGAATAGATATGCGATTCGGTCGAGCATGAAAGAGCGGATGTTGAGCTGAGAGATCGATCTATTGCTTCGGCAATAAACCAAAATGATCAATGAACCAATGCAGGCACCACAAAAAAAACCACTCAGAATCACATAAACTTGATTCATGATTCATTTGTTTACAACCAGATCAAGACCGAAATACGTTTTATCATATCATCGAGATTAATGATTATGAAATTATCGCATTGGCTTACGGGATCACTGGATCAAATTTGCATGATCATAAGTTTTAAAAAAACGACCTCAGAGCTCACCTGCAATGAATTGTATATTTGCAATAAGAACGAGTCGTTTTGCGTCGATGGAACGGCTTCGATTCGATAGAATTATCGGCAGTGATATGAGTGCTGTTAGAAACAGGAGTACGGCACCCATCAAGTGCATAATCAAAACGCTGAGCGGTAACAAAGAATCACGAAAATAACAGTCATTTAATCTGCACACAGTCCAAAGACCTTGTACTAAAGAATTTCTATTCACCAACCATTCGGGTTGAGTTACAACCAGAACTTGCAGCAAGGAAATAATGAAACATAGCAGCAACCACACAGAGGACAGCATTTTGGGATTGTTACAATGATACCACTGAATACTCGAAATGATGGCAGAGTATGATGAATAGGGAATGGGGAGGGGGGGGGGGGGCTTTACTAAATAACTGGAGCCAAATGTGGATGATTAAGTTATTTCTGGTTATACTATGAGGCCATTGGGACTATCTAATGAGCAAATCTATTCGTTTATGTCTATTGAACATCCTCGCAATAGGCTATTTAATGAACGTTTTCCTTTTCTCTAATACTTTCTGAGACACTTCAATGACTCATCTCCATGTGACATTTGTAAACATCCGATATATCATTTATCATTCTGATGTATCTACATACGTAATCACATTCCACATATACCACATAAGATTAATCGCTAAATAAAATTTATTACATGGTATTTATGAAAATTTATAATATGTGATTTATGGGACTGAATGATCACTTGGAAATTTTTGGATTTATTGGTTGATGAAGATCGCTTCTCAAAATACAATTTTTAATTTGGCTCATCATATTCATAATTGAAGCAACATTCACTACAATCTTACACGTCCTTATGAACGGTGGCTGAGAATTCTCTTGGTGTTCTTTGTGAGGTAATATGGCCAGAACGTACCTCTCGATGGTAATTTTAGAACTGATGTGATTTTAGAACCTCTGAAAATTTTGCTTCCAGCAATACATTTTGAAGGGATCATCTTAGCACCTTGATATTCCAGAGCTTTGTCCCGCAATTTTAATTTCTCATTTTATTCATCAATTGGCAACTAATACGGTAGCGCAAATTACACTAAAGTGTTTCGTTCAGTTCAGTTTTCGGTCATTTCATCAACTTTTGTGACTTGTTGATAGTAATTGATGCAGTTCAGTTAAAAGAGGGTAGTTTAGCAGTTCAGAAATTAATTTGTCGGCAATCTCATAACTTTCCACCTCAACTAAAAAATTTAAAAATGATATCAATAAAAATTTTGCAACCAGAAACATTCTAAACAGGTCCAACATTATCAGCTGCGGTCATTTATTTCTGTTGCTCATCCACTCAAACGTCGCTGCATTTTCCTACCTCGCGATTTTTTAAACTTTTTTCTTTCTTCATTTTCTCTTACTTCATCTCACCTATAAAGCATTCATTGGATTTTGTGATCGGTTCTCCAAAAGCCTTTTGAGGAAGAGTTAATTCCTAATCGTCTTATCGAAATCTTGGATTTCCATTTTTATGAAGGTATCAATCATGCACTTTTCTTGACCTTAAAGGGCGAATTTTTAAAGATAAGTCTATGCGCAAATGTTTAAGTTGTCATTCAATACGCCAGACGATATGAACATCACGAAAAATTTATTCACGTCCTCTGGAAGGATAATTCATTTCGCTTCTTATTGCAACACATATTACATTCTGAATTACGTAAAATCACTGAAAGTCTATGAAAACACGGTCGATTGAATAGTGAATTATCGATTTGAACTGAATGAATTGATAAAAATGGTTGATGTGACATAGGATTCGGCGACAACAAAATAAATAAATAAAAATTTCATTTATTAGCGTTCTTCAACCACAGAATATACAATTGAACAACTCGTAGTGATTGTCGTTGTTATTTCCATTTAGATATAATATTCAAATGATCATTAACGACGTCTCAGTTGACAATGAATAAACATTCTTCTACCATTTCATTTGCCACTGAATAATTTCGCGTTGGTACACCTGTAAAAGAGTACATTTTCATCCAATAATGATAAATTTTGTTCTGTCATGTTAAGAAAATTCATCTTCATCATTTGTTGTTCGCATAAAAGTCTATTTTTGTACCTTGATTTCTCATCTGTTAGGATCATAACAAAATGTTGCAGTGAAAGAATAATTAATAATGATTATATTGAGCGTTTGTTTTATTGCTATCGCATGCTTGCAAAATCGAATGACTAGCTCATTTGAATAGATAGCATCATTTGGTGGTGGTGTGCAACGCTAGTATCAATCACAGTTCCATTGATTCCGCACCACCGAATGATGCATGCTTTATAGGCATTAAATTAGAACGACCTCCTGCTGTTCAGTGAAAGCATTACTCAATATAATGGATAACACTAGAATTGACTGGAGTGGATTTGTTTTTTTTGACCATAAAAACTAATGGGCCATGTTTTTGTGGAACATGAATTCATGAGATCAGTTGATAATCCTCAGTTTGGAAGTGAATCATATCTGACTGATTGTTTTAATAAACTGCACAATTGCATAATTCAGCTTAAATTTGAATCTTGGTTCAGAAGAATCAATCTGAATTCAAATTTTAACAATTCTTTCCGTCAGTTGGCTTTTTTCACGCCGTTTAAATATAAAGTTGTCAAACGAATCTTCTTGACTTAGATCGTTCAGCTGCTCAGTGACTACATTATCGAATATACGAGCTTCATGAGCATTGAAAATTATCATATTGAACAATCATAAAGATATTTCTTTCGTAATTGACTCCGACTCAACAGTTTTTGAACATTCACGCAGCACTATAAGAATACATTATGAACAAATTCTGCATTGAACCTATGAAAACAGAATCAAGCAAATGAAAGGAAAGAAATGGTTAATCGAACAAGTGAGTAATAATCAGTGGAATTAACCTAGAAAAGTGTTGAAAAATATATAAGAGTTTCACCAGCACAAGTTTGCGCTATCTGCGTCCAGCAGACGATAATCGATTGAGATTCATACCCAGCAGACCGTTGATGAGTTCAGCATTTGACCTTTTACCGATCGCTGATAACTTATTCAGATCCATTCCAATCAGACCGTTGATCAACTCAGCATTACTACGCTTCGCTAACAACAAATCGCCAATATCGTCAAACTGAAATTCATGAAATACATACTCAGTTCTGATGCTTATTCTAGTGACTGTGAAAAAATGACTAATTCAAATAACATCTTCCTTCATACTTAACTTTGACTATTAGTAAAAATTACGGGCAAGTGCATAATCGTTTGAAGTGACACCAAGTGACATCGGCTTGCCAATGTCTGGCAAGAGTCATGTCTCTCGCATTTTAGTGCTATGCCAAGAAAGAAATGTCATGTGCGCATTGGGAGCAATCGAAGTTTTTCCATTCAGACTAACAACTACTCAGACCGGATGCATTAACGAGTTGAAATGGATTAATTTGTTTTTATGTATAATCAATTAAATTTGTTGTGATTCATACCGTATGTTATGGTGTTAATCGTGCATATTTGTGAATACAATCTTTACTTATGGGAATAAATTCGCTAATTAGTTTCATTTTTCATATACCTTTGCATTTATTTCTTAAGTTTGTACATAGAGTCTCATATCTATTTATTGTACACTAAGTGCTGCTTGAACAATTCATTTTTCAAGTTTCCACTGTTTTTCAGTATTTTTTTTTAAATAGAAGCCTAATAGTGACGTTACTTAATAGTTTAGCTCAACATGACGGATAGATTGCAATCATTTACCATCCGATCTTGGAAGAAATTCAGCAATTCGATTTCTTGCAAATGTGATCAAATAGAAGGAAGATACAATTTTATGGCGGTGATAACGTGTAGCATTCAATTGTTGCTACCATTGCATTCAGCACTCATCCTTAGATGCATCAGTAACAACGATGCGGAATTGATGACAACAAACTTGCAAAAGTGTTATCATCGTCTTACTCGAAATAAGTGTTGCAGAGAGATGAATAACTTCTCATCCGCTAGTGAAATATCTAGCTAGTTTCATTTTAAAAAAATTCTCGCGAATGATTGGAACACATTTCGGACTCCTTCCAAATGAGATCTAGATGAAACTGCTGAGAGGAATTTTTCAGAATTACCTATATCAGCATGCATATTGCTGCATAGCAAGGCATCCATAACTTCTGCCTTTCACTGAAAGAAATTCATCAGCATTCATTTTGAACTCTGTCATGCTAATGTATTGGTGTTGCCAGCCCTAGTGTGATAGTACCTTTCAGAGTTCATTCAGTGACTCAGCAAAGAAGAACACTCCAAGCTTCCAGTTGTGGCTCATTGCATGTGAAGAATTAGATTAGTCACCGAAGCGACAATGTTCATACCGGATGTTCGGTTGAATTTTTGATTTTTCAATGCATCTCAGATTTTATTGCACAATTTGCCAATATTCAAATTGTACATTCAAACGGACGGATTGGAAGGAAATTTCAAAAAAAAAAACACGTTATTCTAATGCCCACTAATACAATATGATTTCTTTTTGTTTATTCAAGCATGGCGAGCTGAAGATGAGTGATTCAGAAGAATGAAAGTGGTCAAAAATTTTTTATCAACCGGATGAGATTAGACTGCAGCTGATGACTGCTGAATATATTCGTGTCGATAATCAGAAACAAAAATACTTTCATTCTAGGCACACCTAATGGTTCTCGTTTCACCTATGAAGATAAATGATACCTTACGAACTGCGATGACGTTTGCCCATAAAAGGTGTTGCTCGCTTATAGTTACCGAACTCATCGATGATCGATCTTCGACCTAGCCATTAACTATTCACGTTCCAAGCAAAACCTTCACTCACATGCTCGTGTATCCCCATCATCGAATAAGCAATGATCAAAAAACGCGTGTGATGCAAAGTGGTGCCTTACAATGGTGCCATCTTACACAAAAAGATGCTTCTCGCTCATCACTAAAGAACGAATTTTTGAGGTCCTCATACGCTCACGAATTTTTGACCTACTCACTCATTGCTCACGCATGCCAGCACGAGCTGAATAAAAATTTAACTCGCGTTTTGTTCGTTTATTCGCGAGCCCCCATTACTGGTTGTCAGCCCCAGTGCCAATATCACTTCGTTCTCATGACAACAAGACTGCCGAATGTGCTCGTCATAAATAATTACCTACTTTCGCAGTTTATGTTCCACACAAAACAAGTGATCTTTGAAAATGAACATCCTAGTTGCATATATCTACACTAATGAACGCCAGATCACCACCAGAATTCTTAAAATGATTATATTCCGAGTTTCCATAGTTTAGTGTGATTTTTTTCTCAAGTGAATGCATTTTCGAAAGCTCTGCGAGATCACTAGTTTAAGTGGGTAAGTTTATGACCGAACGTGCTCATCATCATAAGATATTTTATTTATGCATTTAGAACATTCATTTATTACGCACATTCACAAGTTCTGTTTACGTTACAAAGTGTTAGCCTCGCCGTGAGCATAGTCCAGTGGGATTGCCACCTTTCATGTGGATGCCTAACAACCTCAGAAAAGGATGAAACGATAGCTGTGTGGGCGATAATGAAGGAACATTTTCGCAGGAAAACATTTCTACATTATCGTTGTTCGAATGAAACACGTCAGCAACGAAACAGTGCCGTATTAAAACTCAAAAAGGGCCCTGCACCACTCAGTTCGTTGAGAAATTTTTCAGCTAACTTTTAACAATGTGAATAGTAATTCAACCTGAAATTGAAACAAGAGAATAGTTGATATAAAAAGAAACCCTATATGTAACTGAGAACTTAGACGACTCGAATTATTATCAGAAACCAAAGAATGTTTTCCATTCGCATGATCTGCTTGTCTTCTACACTCACTATCAGTTAGAAAATGTTGTACTCAGTATCACTTCATATATGCTAATTATTTCATGAAATTGACTGAATCAGAAATCTGTGCCGGAGATAATCTGTTCTGTGGTATGAAGTTGGTTGTTACTACAAAAAGCTGATATGAGTGTTAACATTTATATTTAATGCTTGTTTCTCATTGATCACTTTCCGACGTTACTCTTCATCAAATTTTCATATTATTCCTGGAATTCTTTCGAGTACGAGCCCAAGTTTTGACCGATAACATTGAATAAATCAAAATCTGCCAGTAAACTTTATGACGAAACGCAAGAATGATGAATTCGCATGTAACCACTTTAATAATAATAACACTATCAACGTAAATGAGGACATATCATTCATTCCCGGTCTCAACACAGTAAACATAATAATGTTAATTATCAGCTCAGTGGGATAATATAACATTAAGATGATTTCTTAATGAGATTTGAAATACTAATTGTAAAGAGTGCACCCTACTACGGTCAGAATCAGTCAGGATGAGTAAGTTTTGTTATGAAAGGACTACTTATTTCAACAGAAGGAATCTTCAACAAAGGCTAATGATTTGAATGACATTCCAATCGGATGTAAGTAACACTCAGTAAATACTTTAGGGAAAGAGGATTCTTTAGCAATATCCTTAATTAGATCATATTCACATGAAAATTGCTTCATTTAAATCATTCTAAATCAGATTCACTGATATAAAAAGTAAGTCAACCAGGAAAATTGATTTCAAATAATGCGAATATCGGAGCACTTAACCGTTTGTAGCAAGCTGCTCATGAATTGTTTATACTTCTGGTGGAAAACATTCTCCAGTATGGCAAAGTAAGATTATTATTGCCAACCGAAACCACAACCAGTGCGACAAAAACACCACCACATCAAAACTCACAGTCAGCGATGACCCGAAAAAATGTCTTTTGAGAACTTTTTAGAACGAATGAGCAGCAACTGTGGGATAATGATCGGTTGAAATATCAAATGAAGCAGCAACTGTGGGAAAGATAAACGTTACGAAGCAGTACAAGTTATAGACGGTTTACTTTATCTTGACTATCGTTTTACCATATTTAAAATTATCTCTCATGTTAAGTAAACGCAATATTTCAAATGATTGAACGGCAGCATATCTGACCTTCAGATAATATCTCTTATCATTAAGAGATGCTGAAAATTCATGATTTTGCTGTAATTAATGATTATATTGAGTCTATTTTAATCATCATTATTTTCACAATCAATGTCGTTTACCTTTTGTTTGAAAATAAAAATATTTACTTGCAATTTCCGATCCAATTTATTTCATTCATTTTTTCCCTTTTCAGATTTGTATTGATACGAAATAACCTCATGTCTCGTCTTATCTATTGAGGTTCATTCAATTATTATTTCGATCGTATAATAAACGAAACGTTAGGTAGCTATCATAAACTTTAATATTACCGCTCTGACGTCGCAAGCGATGCACTGCAGTCACATCCACAAAACCATATATTATCTATAGTAGCCCATAATTATGAATACCATTACCTCCTCTTCTAAAGTCTCGAAAGTTACAGCCTTAAGTCCCACATAATTGTTCAATGAATACGAAGTTATCTCATTATGAGTAGCCAAGCACCGTAAGTTTGTTCCACAATGAAAGACTGTTTTTCATCTTCCGGTCTCACAAAATGTTGAAAATGACTGAACCATCAGACTCATCAATTGCGTTCAAGCAGTGATAACAATGCCAAAATTTGCCTCCACATCTCCAATAACGAAGAACCGCTTGAGGCGTGGTACCGAATCATACATGGTGCAGAAATAGGCGTCGCTAGGACAAGAATATGCTGTCTCAGTTTCGATATTATCAGATGCAATCCGATTTTGTCAGCATAGATTTAAAGTAATTACCGTATCGCTAATGTGTTCATACGTAATGAACAGATAAATTAATAAAAGAAAGTGCTCTACTCACAAGAATGCCATTGTTCTAATGCATACAATGCACTTCCGACACATGCATCTGTAGTCCCACGTGAATTGTGTCCTCACAAAACCTTATTTTCAGATTTTTTATTTCAGTTCAATTTCGCATTCATCCCTAAGTCCATCTATAGGTACTGTTCTTATTCACTGTGCAACGCTGAAATAACAAAAAACACTAATTCGAGCAGAGCTATCCACAATGTTCCTACAACTACACATAATGTCTTCAAATTGCAAGACTGAGTCCAACAAAACCGAATAGCACAAATTTATTATACTGTAAAACCAAAAATAGCAACAAAATTCTAACAAAATTTCGGACTACAATAATTTGATGAACTTGTACATTTAAAAAAAANAAAAAAAACACACACAAGCCAATCAATCAAATGAGCGCTGTACATAAAGAAAAGAATTTGAGCATCTACAAGTTTAATAACGATTACTAAAGTTTACTATTCATGTTTCTGTAGACTGGTTTGCCTGACTTCATCGCTCGATTCCATGATTAAAGAACGATTCAGAGCTTTCTACTGAGCAAGTAAATAGGAGAGATACACGAATGCACGGTTATATTAATTGACTTGGAATGGTTCTGAGGGTGTTGTTTCGACAAACTCCTATGCACTTTCCCGAGAGAACGCTCGTCCGATTGAATTTCTTTATTTTTGGAAATTTGGGATGGAACAAATTGACGGAAATGAAATGATACCTGTTTGGGTGTATAGATGAGTGGTGTTGTTTGAACAAAAATAAGTAGTGATAACGAGATAAGGATTGCACTCAGTGAAGGCATTTTCAATTGGATCTGTTGAAGACTGGTATTTGTTCTATGCTGTATACGATATACAGACTAGGAGGATACTCGAAAACGGTCACCGGAAATGCGTACAGCTGTGGTGGAGTACACAAATCAAACAAAACACATCAGCGCACCTCACGCCTTTAGTTGCCTTAGGCGGTCCTCTGACGCCTCCTCGAAACCATCCAATCAGCGAGCCAGCCTCCGCCCTTTCTCGCAACTAATTCATATAACAGATATTTCATGACAAAACTCAACTCAACACGATTGTCATAATTGAATCCTAGAGTTGTCTTAGCAATTACCATCAAGACATTTACAAAATAGTCACTATATAGTAACAACATCAATAAATATAGCACACCAATACTACGTTGAAATTGTTTAATGTGAGATAAAAATCACGCAAAGATGAAAATAATATTTTCTCGAGCAATTTATTATGAAAATCAGGAAAAGAACGTATCTTTCATTGCCATATACCACCTTTTCTTATGAGTAATCGTGAAATTCCGGAAAATGGTCAACAAGCATGAAATTCACTTCCCGAAAAGTCGATTTTTCGATCTTACGCAAGCTGTAAAATATGCTTAATCTGATATGAAAAATGCGAGAACGAGTTTCGTCCTCCCCATCACCGATGGTTACAGTACTACTCCAGGAAAAGTTTTTCGAGGCTAGTAATCATTTCTCCAACCACGAAAACCATGTCCGAACCTAACGAAGAAATCATCTACTGTCACATTCACCTTTTGCCGACTCTCTTCATTATTCCTAGCTCTGTCACACTCCTCCGGCGCTGTTTTCATTTTTCATTTGGCTTTGCCACATTGCGCGTTCATAATTGAGCGAGATTGTTCAGCTGCCTGTAAGTAACAGTATGATACGCGAGTTTCCATTTGGTGTATCACGCATTTAACTGGTTTTCACAGAAGATTGGCGATTGATGGAAAAGTCTGATACTAGATTTTGATTTTGGATATCAGGTTGCATCCAGTAGGCAACTTATTCTTTAGCTTGGCGTATGGCTGAAAAGTCAACTCTTTCAGGCAGTGCAATTAATGTTTTTTGACAATGTTCCGCCGGATTCCGGCGATCATTTGCACTAAAAGGTATACACAGTGGTGAGAACAAAATTGACTGCTAGATTTTACGTATAAAATTGCCCTAGAAAATGGTATCCTCATCTTTGTGTAATTTTTTGTCACACTGCAGTATTAGCTAATGACATCAATGAGCAAAAAAGTTGAAAATAATTCAACAACAGAACACAGTGAAATGATATACATTTTATGGTATCGCAAATATGAAAATTCCAGTGAAAAGTAATAATAACAAATCATTTCTTTTCGAAAATTCTGAATTCGTCGACAATTTTAGTGACATTCACTATCAACTTTCACCTTTAAAATAATTCTCTTGAGTGAATGAGAAAACATTAGAAGATATTCTTTTTTATAAAGCAAAAACTGAACAAAAACAATCGATTGATTATTGCACATTTCTTAAGCAGATCTTTCAACTCACTGCACTAATACATTTTGTTCATCTTGTACATGAACGTCCGTTCAGCTATCCTAAAATGCAATAAAATCTGATGATATCATTCACTCACGGGAACAATTCCACTTCACATAAAGCGTAATAAAGCAAATACTCATCATAGAGAAACTGAATACAATATTATGCAATTATTAGTGCTTAAACTAACTGAACAGTTCTTATTGTGCATTATTTGCTTCTTTCCTACAAGAGCATTTCCGTTCATTGAAGTCAATTTACCATAACGAATGCTTTATCTTCTTCTATCTCTCTAGGAGATTTGTTTTTCAAAAGATTCTCTGCATTCTGCAGCATTACATCGCTGAAACCTTTCACAACATTGTGATTTATATCTCAAAAACAATATTGCACTTTTTATGAGCAACTGGATATTCCCGAGCCACATAAAATGACATATTATGGACACACTTAAATGCTTGCTCATACGTATCCTCTTTCTTGGAGTGATGTGTTGTGATGATAACAAATTCATTATGCAATTTCCGAATGATTATCATCATTCCATTATGACGAACACGCGACTAAAAAGCTGAATTGGCAAGGAAATAATGTGGCTAACATTTCATTACATGCCGAACTCGTTTGAAATAATGAACTTAGAGCGCATAACCCCTAACTAGTCTCTCGTGGTTTACAATTATTATGTTTTCCGAAGGCAAACTTATATCTATTTAGGACGGCATTCTTGAATTAACGACCGACAAAACTGCGTAGGTGGATAATGGAATAATTATTGGCAAACGAAAGCCATTCACTGAAATTGAGTTCGCATATGAGTCACTTTTATGTCGAATGGGAGCATATCACTCTTCCTCATTCGATACAAACCTATAACGAAAAGAGGAACCAATTTTGAGATGATCAGTGGAATATGTGAGATTATGCGGCATACCTATCTGAATTCCTTGAGTAACAACGCAGATATTAAATTGCCCATTGAAAACGATTCTTTTGAAACGATAATATTTGAATGAATATTTTCAAACGGTAAATTTCTCAAAATACCAAACGGTGATCATCACCAAAACGGTCGATCGAAGTAAATAATGCGAACTGTCGGGAAAACATGATTCGTGATAACATGTACAAAATAGAGATGAATAAATACAAAAAAAGCACACACACACACACACAAAAGGAGACCAGAAAATTTCAAGAAGAAACCAAACAAAGTCTTAAAACTGAAAGAAGCGATGATAGAAGCAGCAGACTGAAAAGACCAAGAAAAGTTACTGTATAAATTATAAATGATGAAAGCATAAAAAGGCGTAAAACAGTAAAGTTGTTAGTACGAAAACGATCATCGTAGAAAAATGACAACCGCAATGATTACATATTCGCTAAACTATTTAAAAACACCTTCAGATGCATATTGAGAATATCAAAGATAAAATTTATGAATTTCTCTAACGAGCATAATAGATGAAGGCGAATGAAACAACGCACGTACAAAATTGCATCCAACAAAAAAAAAACGCTGAATAATTTTTCGATAATTGAACTGAAGACTGATTATTGTTAAGAACGAGACAAAGTCATTAAGTGCATTTTTAAAACGACAAACAAGCATGCAAAATAATCAACATACATGCGAATATTAAAACAACATAAGCAATTAATAATCTAAATGGCACTTTTAAGGTGATTCGTAATAAGCGAAAGAGAGAAGATTAACTATGGAATCATTCAAATATCATTAGTTGTTTACAGTCGTCTTTCTCTACTCCATTGAGTTATTTATCAGTTTACCTAGTTCGCACTAATTTGCCTCAAAATTAAACGAAAGCATTGTATGCTGGTGTAAGCAGCTTCAAGCGTACCGAAAAGATACTAACAGTAGAATATATTACAGCAATACGATATTTCCTTCTGCCATCTGACAAACAGTGATCATTTTAGGGGTTTCTACAAAGGTAAAGCGACTGGTCATCGTAAAAGAAATAATTATACGAACATTGGAAAAAAAACGAGAGAAATTAATAAGCTGAACTGGATATGTTCAGCGAGCGCTCTAATAATGATCGATTCGTTTCTTTTTAAGAGAATCCGATAATCATCAATCAAATCCGGTGAAATTGAAAATCAAATGAGAATTTAGATACCATTTCGAAACGAACGAATCAAGTAAAGCCATTTTATCTTTCTCATGGTGAGATAAAAAAGCAAGCATAACAGTCGTCAGTGACACGACTGAATCAATGCCGACTAACGCATCTCCTGTACAAAAAAAANAAAAAAAACAAATAAATAAAATACAATTGAATAAAAGATTTGATTCTATTTAGAAACTATGTTATTGAATACTTCGCAAAACGAATTGTAAAAGACAGCGATGACGATGCGAGAAATGAACACAGACAACTTGAATGAGAAACGAACAAAAACTGAAAAAATATGATGAGAAATAACGTAATCACTGCGCTTTCCTTGAGCTCGAAAAGCGTAATTTCTCTAAACGGTTCTGCAGATGACGATTCGTTTCTTTTGCCTCATCGAGCGCATTCTCTCTATCGCGTAGCTGAAACGTTTTGTTTTCCGTTGTTATAATAAGAGATGTAATAAGTCAAATTTCAACCAAACTTCAGAGGAACTAAATCATCATCGGTTCTGAAGTTATTCCCCGATAGCACTGGAATCTAGGTCTCTATAACTCTGACAAATTACGACAAAAACAAAGCGAATAACTATCATAAATTTCGATAAATTCGTGATCAGGAAAATGCTTTCGAGAAGAATACAGATAAATGAATGAATCGCGTTTGTGGCTTGGAGGATGACTAGTGTCAGTGCCCTCATATAACACGAATTAGGTGTTACATCAATCGAAACATCGAACTGGAAATAAACGCAATTCATGGACGAATGAAAATATCAGAGACGCTTCAATTTTATCTGTATCATGTATCACCAATTATTCAATTCTTGATTCTTGATCACGATATTAGAATCAGCAGAGATGTGGCGCACTTATAATTAAAGACCATCTGTTGAAGGCATTTGTCTCCACTGACACTGTGCTGTTTTAATTTAATGAATTCCCTTTCGTTGATATTCATACAACTTTAATATTTAATATTGAAGACGATTTGTTGGATGAATCAAAGAAAAGAAAAGCCGACATTATCTTTTATAAATTTCGAAATAACGTCTAGAAGATAACATTTGAATTTCAAACTAACATCTTTTTTTAGTTGACGGTTTTGAGATTTCAATTCGGTTAACTGTTTTTCAGCCTGTTCTGCACTCGTTTTGAACCTTTTCAGTTGGCCTTCCAATCGAATTGTCTGCATTCAAGTTACAAATTGGTCGAACAGAGTTCATTTACATTGTTCAGAACAAGAAACATACGCATTCAACTACAGATTGCTAGTTAAGCAGATTCAGGGCGGAACTTTCAATATTCGACGAACATATGGAGGCAGTGGTGAACCCAGTTCATCACCTTTAGCGAGAGCAATCTTTCTTTTGCTTAGCTACAGAATGGATTATCGCAGGATGATTCATTTCAATTTAAATAAATCGTTTATTTGTGAAATCGATAACTTCTTTAAGGTTCAGAACTAATATTATTCAGGAGTCGACTGAATTGTTGAATGAAATGTTCAAGGAATAAAAATAAGTGAAGCCCTTACATTTCCTTGATAGTTCGTGTTCTCGCGTTCTGATTCTTGAAGTTTGAATTTAATTTCGGCGAGCTGCTTTGCAGCATCTTCTGAAATTCCAAGTTAACCGACCGGAACCCAAACAACAGTGCTTCATAAAGTAATTGAGAAAAAAAACTCGGATAGAAGGCGATTCAACATCAATCAATGAAGATAATGAGTATCCAAACATCACGATGCATAACTACTACTACAAACTAAAAATCAAACACACAATGCATCAGTGGTTCGTAATTTACTATCGTAAGGGGTAATTAACAATACAGAAACATACTAATAAGAGCAAGCAAGAACTAGAACTGTTTTGAGAAGGCATGCAAAAATACGGTAATAAACGGCATGAATGCGGAAGACGCTCACAACAAGAAGAAATGAACTGATTATAGCTATCAGAAATTATGAGTGAATGATGAAGGCATTTCGAATATTTCATCGTTTGCTAATGGTTCTATCTAAAAGCGACTAATTTCTGTTTATAATCGAAAAGAAGCGTTTGTTTTTATTCAATCGCCTCCAGCCATCATTAATATTCGAAAAAAAAATACACATCAGATATGCAATCATTCAGAACATTTGGTTGCCAACAAACGTTTTCCATCCATTCATGCAGTGATTGAAGTGGCTAAAGTGTGCGCAGACATTCAAATCAAATTGTTTTCCGAATGAAAAAAAAAAAACAATTCATGCGCCTCATCATCATTTCTTAAGAGTAAGCTGATACCACATCAAACTGGATAACTTCTTTATGCATGCGCCAATCAATGACATAAACATTTATGGTAGATGCAGGGATGAACTTTCGGGGATAAATGAAATTAGGGTGAAATTTTCATAAACCCTATCAAACCAACACCCCAATGGTTCTTCATTAGGTTATTGGCTTGCCCACTCTGAATCGAACGTCTTCCGCAGCTTGTCTAATCATTAACCTGCTCTTCCACCCACTCTTTACCTGCTTATCTTTCCTTTCACATGAATTTGCTTGAAAAATTGGTTACAATTTTAGTGAAATGGTTCAGGACTCAGTGCGTAATCTATCGAAAGTGATTCGAATCGAGAAAATGCAATAGCTGATTTTACATGAAGAAGTTTGTCGGTGGTTGACCTGACAGAGATGAATATGAGGACATTTATCATAAATCTACGTGTGAAAAAGATACACCGTTGGGATTTAACGACATCAACGTCAATTCATTTCTGTGGACTTTTGCGATAAAATAACATCAATATACCATGAATCATTACGAGGATCAATGCGTTAATTTTTGCATCTCGTTTTAGAGTATCGTCGAGGGATTGGCGTATGTTAAAGTTTGATTTAAAAACATGAATTTCAACATAAAAACTATGGGCTGCGTTCAATAAGCTGAAGCATGTTAATATTTCAATGCAAAAGTACAGTTCGGGATACCGATTCGGACAAACTTAATACGCTTCTTAACGATATGATTAAGAGAGAGTTTAGTCACTGAATGCAGAAGATGAAAGTTGATCAACAGTGGAAATTACGCAATCAAGAGAATTTTTTGGACGAAATACACGTAATCCGAAAATACGCTCCTGTAAAAATCGGCTACTTGGATAGAATAAACGTGTTCATGCGGAAAAAACAAAATTGAACTCACAGAAGTAAATGAATAAAAAATAGCAACTCAAATTCAAAACAAATAGTGAACAAATAACGTACTGAGTTGAATTCTGATATCTGTTAGAAATTATTGCATTCATTAATGTCGTTGCTGGGTAAAAGTTAAATAGAGTTGTTCCTCGCATTTGCGACTGAATTTAGAGGAAAACTGAATGTGAAAAATGAGGCGTATTCTCAAGATGGATCATTCTCTTATCGTCAGTAATTTTGGCCACTTCTGAATGACATGATCACTCTTACATAAGCTGAGGGTCAAATTAGATTGAAATAAACACGAAATAAAAGTTGTATGAAATGACATTAGCAATAAGGCACATGTTGATTAGTTACAGTGGTGTGTGTAGGTAAACAAACGCTGACAAAGATGTGATCCTTGAACAATCAAGCAGGGGAAGTGAATGCTATCAGGATGAATCAAGGGTGAATGCTTCTTTTGTATTATCAAAAATAAAAGCAGCTACTTAATCGAATAAGCATTTGATCCAGAATATTCGACGATCATAACAAAGAGTTTAACTATTTTCATTCATGAACAGCACTAAAATAGTCAAGCGCTTCAACTGCAATTGCTACAGGAGGCTCTCTGAAGGAAGTGACAAAATCAACATCAAATGGATTATGAAAAGAAAACCAACTTTGTAGATCGTCATTCAACGATCCGTTGTGAGTGGATGCGAGGTGTTCACTTCGGGCAGTTCTACGAGCGTACAATGACTGTTCAGCCTCCTCTACTTGCTGTCGCATTTTTTTATTCTAAATAATATTTAGTTGAATTTTTGTTACTAATTTATAAGATCGTTAGCAATCAATATTCCTGAGGTGCAAGATTTAAGTGAGAATAAAAATTGTACTGAAGAGCAAGCAAATGCCATGAATAAAAAATTCACGACAAAGACAATCCTACCAGACCGCAAAGTACACTGATAATAAATCAAATTTTGAACTGAAACTGCCCAACAGCAGAACGAGAAGACGTCTGCCCAATAATAAAATTAATAACTGAGCTATTTCTGCATTCTAACAGTATTCAATTTATTACATCATGTGACCAAAAGGACAATGCGTAATAGATTACTGCTGCGAATATGAAACGTTCAAGAATGAGAATCCATCTAAGAAGGCACTTATAAGGATATGTGCATGTTTGTTGGTACGTTATTGCGCATCTGCGTGCACGATATTTATGCAAATAATTTAAAAAATAACGAGCATTTCAAGCTAACAACCTAAAAGATTCCATTTCGCAGTGACTGCGAACAAATTGACAGAATGCAGAGACTGTCCACAATGATCTTTGAATAATGCTTGTTTTTTGGAATAATACTTGTTTCAAAGAGTTGAAACAGACGAATACAAAATTATTAAAGGATATTTATATATGCTTAAAATAAATGCTACGCTCACCATATCGACCAACTTTTTAACTTTTTCGTCCAAGGTTGATGAACCTGAGATCATCTTATCCACTAATGAGATTGTTTGTTGTGAGAAGACCAACGCTTCCGGCTTCCTGAAATGTCTTCTAATTCCTTGATTTATAAATGAATGAAGATTTTTTGATGGATAAGTTCCTCGAAGAAGTAATTGTGTCAGGACGAGCAATAATTTGAGTAAGTTTACTTCGAAAGACAGATTTCACTTCGAAATAAAATAGACCAATACAAGCATACATCGGGGGTGCTCCTTCTGTTTGAGAGACAACAGAATCGTCGGCCTGTTGCTCCACAAGAACCAGACCGTTGTCCTGAAATTCAATTTTGCTTTCTCTCCAGGAAAGAAACCTACTGAAATGAAAATGCGCAATTGGATAAAAAATGGAGAAGAGCGCATCACAATCCGATACAAATGAAGCTGATAAACATATAAGATTCATTCAGTGGAAAGGACAAAAAATTAATAAATTATGATTTATAGTCAGTAGATGATTATCACAGGAAAACTAACGGAAATTTTCAAAAAATTCAAAGTACACTTACTTGTATTAATTGATCTCTTTGAGCGATTTCTGCTCGTAATATGGCTTGTTGTGAATTAAGTCCATCGATTGTTCGCTTCAATAACTTCACTTCCTATAAAACTTACATGCTACTATCGTTTTGACATAGAACAAAAAATGCTAAATTTGTAATTTTTTTCACTCAAAATTTGACACTTTCTTTTCGTTATTGAGAAAGGAATGAAACTGAAAAAAAATTGATACGTCTGAATATCAACGGACTAAAATATTAATGAAAAATTATTTTAATACTGATCCATAAATAAGTACATACACTAGTCAAATCACGTGTTTCCTTCGCGGATAACGCTAAAAGTTGATCTTTTTCTTCCATTTCGTCTTTCAATAGATCGATTTCGTACAAAAGTGCTGACTTTTCGTTATCTAACTGAGAGTAGAGGAACATCGCTCGTTGAAATTTATCTTCCAATTCTGTAACTTTCTCCTGAAAAATAAAATCGATCAATCAAATTTCACCAGTCATTTGAAAGAATTCTGGCACTCCTTCGAGAAAATTTGCACATTCAAAAAAAATTCAAGAAATTTTTTCTGGGTTTCACATGAACATGGACGCTACACAAATCAAGAAAAAGGATAATTTCTGATAATTAACCCAACTGTATCTCACACAATTACCACGATATATGTTAACTGCTTCGTGCAACAGTTGAAAAAGGACAAATAAAGATGAACAAAAAGCAGCGAGTTAAGGATTGAATCAAATGAAAGAAAACAATAACTGCAACCTTTAAAGCAATCCTCTCAGAAACTGCACCTTCAGATGGTTCTTTCGAAGGAGTATCGTCAGATGTCGACGCTACTGTGTCCTTCTGAATTAAACAACACACATGCAATTGTTAATTCAAATTTGTTATGCCATTAAATATTACAAAAGCACTCACTCACACGTTATGGTCATTATTTCATTTGAAAACAGATGGAAAATTCAACTCAGTGGAACTGATGATCATAAGAAGCGTGCTCAACCAAGGAGAACACTTGAGACACCAACAACTTGAATATAAGAAAAATGTAAAGACAATGGAAATACTGAATCGAATGAGTCTGACATGAAATGAACACAAAGAATCTATTTCACCACTAGCAATTCTGAATCGTTCTTGCAATTTCACTTGATAAACCGAGAATCAAAATATATCAAACACAATTACTAAGCAGGCAAGAAATGACCTTTTTTGCTAAAAATGGTGCATGGACGAGTCACAGCTGTTGCAAGCAATGCCTCATCTCAACTTCTTCACTTCTTCTATACGAAAAATTGATTGGAAAAATAGAGTTGAACTCTAAATTTATTGGCTTCCAAAGTAAACATAAAATAAGAACAGTCAATTTTTGTTGAGTTCCATCCTTACGTAAAACTTATTCTTTTCACAACCGAGTACGATACAACTGCTGCGATTTGGTCGGCAGATTACTGCCTGTTATACTGTAACTGGAACATTAATTTAGCAGAGATTGAGCATTATAATTCAACTTATTCACGAATTCAGTTGCTGAAGCGCTTTAAAAAAGATCACTTTGAATGATGAAGAAGATTTTGATTATAGGGGAAAATCTAACAACTGAACGATAGAATGTTACTTGGAAAGACCACTACGAGACAGAGTGCTGACTCTTCACAACAAATATGGAGGATATGATAGTTTTTGGTACATTCCAAGTGCAGAAAAGTTTGAAATGGGCGGAAAGCATTGACAACCTTGCTGAAATACCTCGCATTTTTACTCGAATACATTCGTACGATTCCTGTGAATATTTGCTTAGAATTTTTTAAATCATAAAATCAAGGCGCATTAGCGGGCAGCTCTATGGTTTACGATTGAAATCTTTGCATAAAATGTAATCAAACGAAACAGACTTTGAAACATGCAGGAAAGGCAATCCAAAATCGACAAGGAGTATATATTGCTTAACGCAATCGAAGAGTCATTCATTCGGAATATAATAAAAGTCACAATCGTTCAATAGACTAATGCACATTACGAGTACGTATTTAGAAAATGACACAAATCACATCAATTCGCTTTCAGTGTTAATGTGAGTATCGAAAGCTTGCCATTCAATGTAACGCGACTAGGTTTCGGAAACATGGCTCAGGTTCTTCGAAGCTGTCCAAAGCTGACTAAAGTTCTTTGTAAAATTCACGCGGATAAAGTCTGAATCACATTTCTCTCGAGACCTGGTCGCGTTTATTTCGACAAAAAGCTTCAAATTAAACCATAATGTTAATAAAGAAACTTACAGCATTTCCAGCCCCTGAACTGCTGTTATTTGCAGCATCAGCCTGAAAAGCAAGACAAATCAAACTTTCACTTACAGAAAACAAAGCATATTAGCGAATCAACACCATCACACTGGCAAGTTTTACCAAACAAAAAACCCCTAAAAACCCTCAGAAGATAACTTCTAATTTGATGTCAACTGCATTATACACATTAAATGTTCGCGCATATCGAATAAAATCACACTTTTACTTTGCGAAATGGACCATTAAAATTTGAAATGAACAAAATTAATTGACTATATTGCCTCTCTGTATTGTCGTTCCAGTTGTTCCAGACGGATCTGTCTCGCCTCTTCTCTTGCTTGACGTTTACGCGTCATCCTTTCTTCTGCCTACAAAAATGACTGAATTCAATTTATATCTTAAAAACGGATTCTTCAAAACAGCCAAGTTTGTGTGTTTTCAAACGTATCATGACCGAACTAGAATTTTTTCTTTGTCTTAACCTCTTCGATCATAGCAGAATTTATTTACCTATTTGGATAAAAGCTACAACTTCAAACTGAAGCCACAAATGAGGATTACTGATCCTCAAAATGATCAATACAATCAGCTATCTGCGGTGCTATTAAGAAGTAGCTCTGCTGGCTTTTACGCTTCCATTCGAAATAAAATCGACGAATAAATTCTTAAAATGAAATAAAATTCCAAAAACCAAATAAAATGATTGAAATAAAATTTACAAAAATTATTTACTAAATTACAAATAACGTGAAATTACTAAATTTACAAATTACTAACATCACGTGAAATACGGTCGAGCACTTGCTCTTCGGCGGTATGCCTACTGACTGCACGACGTCGACCACCACTATAAGTACTCATGTTTCCCTAACTTAAGTTTCTGCCGCAGTCAATGAACACCTCAACTGCACTGAAATAGCACAACATTAATGCGGTCCACAAAAGTATGGTAATGAAAATCAATCGTTCGATCACGTCGCAAACAGCAGACAACGTACGCAATTCAACCAGCTGAATCTTAACTGCTTAGAATTCATCTTATTCTATAACTCTTCAGGCCGTCGAAAATTTTACTTAACTCAAAAATATAAAACCATTTTCAGTTAGCATGCAGTACATGACAGTCAGATAACTCGTTAAAACACTGACAAAATAATCGCACTCAAACTAACATATTACGAACGGAATGAATGTTAGCGTTACTCGATTCAACTAAACTGAAAATCAAGTTTTGATAAACATATTACACTTGATCACAAAGTGATGTATGTTTATTACAGATGATGCGTATATATCTTTATTACAGCAGCACATGTCTACAGCATCAGCACTATGTGACTGCGTTAATCACATCATTACAACGCTTCAACTCGTTAGATATCCAAAACAGACCTAGCAAATTCGACGAAACAAATGATGGCAAACAAATCATAACGAATAATTCTCACATAGATAAATCTGATGCATACTTTTTTAGTAATACTTTTAGTGATATCGCCAGAATGATGACAGGAATGTGGATGGTATTAAGATGATGAATTCGAAAGCGCAGAGTCACTGAATCGCTATACCCACGCTGAGTTTCATTTCTCGATTCTATTCCTAAGGTCAGTATTCCTGTTGCGCTTCTAGAGATAATAAATTCGGTTAAGGTGGTGATCTGCACGGTCTAATTCCCAACCACATAGTAGCCGGTCACTTTACTCGCCATAATTCGTTTCGGTTCGATTTGAGCAATGCGAACAATATTTTACGTACGTACTACAAAACGCGTGCTGTGATACATTATGTTCTAGTGATGGGATCCGAACGAAATTTCAGTTCGGTCCCAATCGACCTTTTAACATTCCAACATTCGGAATCCCTACCAAACTTCAGAATTGTCCGTTCGAAATCCAAATCTCGGGATTCCGGCCCGAATTTGTCGGATTTTTCCGACCAAACCTCGGCTGGAGGCTATCACTATTGTGATCCCCTAAATCAATGGTTCTCAACCTTTTTTGCTCCGTGGACCCCCCAGAAAATTCCAAGATGCCCTTGTACCCGTACTTTACCTTGCACACCCTCCTTCACCCCCACTCATCGCACTCACCCCGAACCCCACCCTTTCTGGACCTCCTGGCATGGCGTCCCGGCCTCCCAGGGGGTCCATGGACCCCAGGTTGAGAAACCCTGCCCCAAATTAATACTGGGCAGTGTTCATTTGTTTTGGTGCGGTGATGCATTGAATTTAGGCAACATGAGTAAGCATTAAACTTCACTATGTAATTAATGATTATTGATGGTGTTTCTGCTGGTAGTTGTTTTAAGAGGATGGTGTGACCAGAGATTTCAAAGTTTGTTTCTGAATATACGTTCAGCTGCAGCAGTGACAATTTTTGTTTTCATTCTTATTTGAGTTGTTATGTTCACGAATCTCATGTTATTATTCATGGTTCAATGGGATGGATGCACTCTCCTGTGGCATTCTGGTAAAATGAACAGCCACTGGAGCAGCCCTCATTACCTAAAATTGCAACGTTTTTTTCACAACTTTGTGGATAACTCTACGGTAAACGTGTCTGTGAAAGGGAGAGGTGCCGTAAACAATCTGGATGAGTCTCAATCCCGTGGCTTGAGCTTCGTTCTGAGCTGGGTGGATCCCGCGATAAACCTCAGGCTAAGTCCCGTAGTGAACCTCAGCAGGATGCAGGCATAAGGCTCTGCTCGAGATTGCTGTGTAAGCCGACTTCTTCTATTGAACACGTTGACTTCAAGATAACACCTGGTGATACCTCCAGAAGGAGGTAATTGCCGAATGTCGGAATGTAGGTGTGGAATAATAACAAATTGAGGATTCGTTGGCAGTTTTGTAGTCGAAGTTGATTTTGTAGTCAAAACGGTATTTCGTTCATACGAATTCGCAGTTCAATGTGCGGAGCAATTAGTTTATGCGAATTGTAAGAACAGCTCGCAACGGGATTTCCATAAGCTCAATAGGTTTTGATAATTTCACTGTGGATTCAATTAAGGATTTCGCTGATGTGTTGTCATTTTAAATGAATATACGTTTTGCAATTATGTGATCAGATCCTTCTAGTAAAGTTATGGTTCTCTGTGGCAATCGAGTATAGAAAAAGTATTGCATTTCCTGAGTGGGTTCCACAAAAAGTATTGCCTTTTCGACCGTCGTTCATCCGTCTCGCTCATACGAGAAATATTATAACAAGGCCAAATTTTTCGATTTTGGAACAATATTTTCAGACCAGCAGTAGTGCCAGGCCCAAAAAAACAGAATGAAATATTCGATGACCGTAGGATGAAAGATACCCTCAGATTCTAGGAACGCACAACTTGAGCATGATTCTTTAGCCTATTCGGGTGGTGTTCTCATTGTCGAACAACTTTTACATTCAGGTTCGAGAACATTTATTCACTGTTTCATGATATCCGCAAGAGCAGCTTTTACGATTCTTAGTCATCCTTTCAAGCTTACAGTCAATTTTAATCTCAAGGTTACTGGACGGCAGTCAATCATTACGTTTTTGCATAGTAGAAACGCGAACTTTCTGAGGATCATATGAACAACTAAATAAACCAGCTCCATATAGGAGCACGAGCACTGGTACGGTTGAGTGGGGCACTCACTACTCATACTAGATCTTCTTTGATAAAGAAAACACATATGCTGTCGAATGATATTGCCTAACGATGGTTCCAAAGATATAATCAAATTATTCCAAGTTTTTCATGCAAATGAGCCATTCACTTCCACCGTCCATTTCTCGTTATGCATTTGATCACCTCTCTATGGTCATCTAAAGGAAATCATGCTGACGTTTTCGAGACGGTCGATAGCTTTGAAGCATTTGATCACTCTGTCGGTCATCCTTCAATTAACAGTAGGCTAAAGAATTTCATTTTCACATATTCGGATCAATTTATGTTCAAAGTTCAAAAAAAGTGCTGCTCTGGGATATTGTTAATGAATAAGACCTGATCCATCGAAGTATCAACAGAAATCTCTCGGAAGGTGTCGGCATTTGGAGGCTATTCACCTTGCGATTAGCAGCATGATAATGCAGACTTTCACGGTGGTAGAATCATGATTGTGGTGACCTCTACGCACAAGATTGAGAAGAAAGTTTGGATTTTGTGACATTCGCATGAGATATAACCTCAAACATCAGAAAATCTCATGATCACCGCAAGAAACAGACCAACTTACAGTTATTGGTTTTACATACCCCATTAGAATATCTTGAATGTGTTATCATAACCGGTTGGAATATCGAATGAATATATCATCATTGATTGAATGAATGAATATGTTGATTGCCTAAACTTGTTACTTATTCGCGTCCATGTAGAACGTTCGTTTTGTATGCTAAAAGTGACAACGAAACATCTCCTGAGTATTGCTTGTTGAATATTGCATTCTCAGATTACACTCACAATAAGTTCGTAATATTTTGTGCGCAAACCAATATATTTTGACTATGAATCCAATTTTCCTTCTTTGAACTACAATTGCAGTTATTGTTGATGCGATGTTATTGTTATCATCCTAAAAATAATTATATGTAGGAAATTTGATGGCAAATGTCGAAAATTTATGAATGCATTATGTTCGTTGAACATTACTAATAGCAATCTGGGCTATTCCATGAAATGAATTTTTTTTGTTCGCATCATGTTCATAATTTACTGTATAATGAGTACATATGAATTATTCATCACATTCTTTTCGAATCTAGTATTTGTGCATAACAGTAATTGATCTTTTCACAAGCAGAAGTATAATTCGTTAGAACTGAAGCAGTTCATAAAGAAGGTCGTCAGATAATCTTATTTTCAATCACTGGTGGAACTGAGTTTATTTTTTGTTGTTGTTGAAAAAACAAGCGAGGTGAGTAAGAAAGAATTTAATGAAGAATTATTAATTATGATGATGAGATCTTATATGAACGAATACATATCATTCCCTTGCAATTATGCAACATGCTACAATCGACAACAACACAGATGCCGTGAGCGGAAACTGACTTTCGGAACTATATAGGATGGATTGTTTGGGTTCATTCCACGTTTCTGTTTTGATTTTGAATTATTCAACTTCGAAAGTGGCGTTCTTCTCATGAAAAAAAATCACATGGATTCATTGAAAGCACTGAACAGGCCACTTGCGTAAACAATAAATTTCTTTTGACGTAATATTTACAATTCGAATCGAGAAGCTGTTCTCGTGTGGGTAGTTCGAAAAGAGGAAATATATGGACGTGGAACATTGGATGATGAACTGAAATATGAGGTCACTGAAGTTTTACTTTTGCTTCAGTAATTCGAATGAGAAATTTGAGAAGATTTTGAACGACGGAAAACGCAATTGGCTGTGAAACTTGGTTATGAAGTAATAAACAATACAAAAACACACTTTGCATGAGAGAAGTGAATGTTGAAATGAAGTTGAAATTACATTGAATATGCAAAACAATTCGATACGCTTTGCTTTCTGTCGGTGGAAATAGCTAGTTGGCGAGAGAATCGTTCAAAGAAATAGGTAACTTTCATCGAACGAATATACATTGAAATGTACAAGTAACACTGGATAGGATACTGTCATGAACGTTGGACAGTGACGAAACAATGGTAATATTACTTTACTACCATAAAGTATTGTGAACACAGCATGGAAACGCTGCTAAACTCATAATCAGTAATGTATTGAACTAGCATTAACGTTTCATAGGGGATTTAAATTGAAAGAAGCTGAATTGGTTGTGTGTTAGTGACTGCTTTTCAGTTGATTGCAGTTCACGGTGATCAGATGATTCATTCGTTATTATACATCGAAATAATCGAGTTTCTATAATAGTGCATGTTGATGTATGCAAATCGCATTCGAAATAAGTATCGTGTACCATCAAAATGAAGCCATTTGACGCACTGAACTATGATTCATTTGCTCTTTGACGAATACAGCGGCCTTTAGATGTTTTAAATCCATTACAGCAATGTTCATTGCATGGCTCTGTGACGGATTTCTCCCTGAAAATCATAAATGGGTTTGCCATTTGAATATGGGTTTGCCATTTCGAATTGCATGAAAAACCATTGGCACAAAATGAGATGTGAGAAATATTTACATTGAAAAGCGTCTGCAACAATATGTAAATAGTAATTATCTACTGTTAGATTGTTATGGGTGAAAATATTTTTCAATTTCAACGAGCACACACTAAACAATCACGATATTTGAGAACTAAAAAAAGAACTCACTGCCTGCATCTCAAGCCAGTTATTAAATCAAGCAGTCCTCCGCATTTCGTTTCAACGAACTTTTTCTTCGTACAATATCCCCTGCACGGTGCATCGTTACAGANCTCATTTTGCGTCGATTCACCGCTGTAACATTATTCCTCGTTTAAGGCTTTCTAATATAATATTCCGGAATCAAATAGATCCTTGCAAGTGTTTTTCAGTTTCTTGCTGAATAAGAAATTTTTCCCGTTAGCAGAATTGCTCATAGAAATGAATATGTAGTGGTGCAATGAGAAGTATGACGATATTTAGGGCTGCTTAGTGATTTAAGACCAACTAACAAACAATCGTTATGCCCCAGAGGACACAACCGTTGACGGGTCCGTGTGCCACATGCACCGCAAGATGCACTACATGCAGACCACTGCGACCATTCAGACCATTGCGGTTCACTCAATAACGCACCGTTCAGAGGGATTGACCTCACTTGTGCTTGAAATCCTTTACCACTTCGATAAAACGAACGAAACAACACCAACATATCTTCTGTAGCCGACTCTATCGTAGTTTTTGGTGCGCCATAGCAGCAATATCTATGATAGAGGTTGATGAATTCAACTGCGACCCGGACTTGTACGATTATATAAATGGGTGATTTTTTCTCATCAATGAAAAGAATGATGAATGAAGTAAATCATTCGTCCTGGAAAAATGATGAATAATAACGACAGTAATAAGAGCAATAAGTGCTAACCGCATTCCCGTATTCGCGAAATCAGTTGAGTTACGAATCTCGATATAATCCATACAAAGTGAATGCTGCACTTTGCAGTACATCTCAAATTCACCATAAAATCTCAGTTGAACTCGTTGACCTGGCAAAGCAGTTAACAACCAACTACACTCTTGACCCTCACGGAATTCAGTCGGATAGCCAGGACTAGTGATACGGGTCCATCCTAAACCCAACTGTAAACGTCCACCACATTCAGCACCATAACCAGGCATTACTTCTTCGCATAACTGTAAATTTTGCTGCACTCATTCAATTCACATCAGTTCCGTTCAAAACTAAAAGACTCCATTATTGAGATAATAGTTGATCATTGAGTTATTCTAAGCAGAATGTACGTATTTCTCGGCTCACAAACAGCCAACTTGTGTTTTTCATGAAGCAGGACAAGTGAGTAGCGCTGGTATTTGCGAAATATGAATTCATTTCAGAACAAATTCTTGATAACTGCTGAGCTAGCATTTGTTGCAAGGTAAGCGGACCCACCCGTCCAGTGAATCCATCCGGACAACGACATCTATCACATCTTCTCGGATCTGTGTAACCACCACGGAGACATGGTAGTTCTTTAGGGCATACATTGGTGCAATAAATAACATTCATAAGACGGATATCGTTGAACGATAATTGATCTCTTTGACCGATCGTTTTTTGGTAGTCGGCAATATTCGTGTTCAGTGTGAATAAATCATCATAACGGCCGAATGCTTTGCTTCTGAATGACTTGTTCCGTTGTTCATGTGAAAAGAGCATTAATAGTGCAAGGAATTCATATATGGGCGTCTGTTTCAGTTGAATGGCAATTTGGCTTGATCTGCGAAGGATTTAAAATTGATTTTCTCTCGAGCCTTCTAACTGAACATGCTGGAATGAGGTGAAGTAAAATCGTGGTAACTCGACTCATCTCGTTGTGTTATCAAAATGAGGTTATTGAACTGACTGCAAACCTATAATGCATTATGCTGCCATAATCATATGGCACACTACCATTATCTACATCAGCCGGTAATTCCTTTAGAAATTGTCCTTTACTGTCTCGATCAATGTTTTCCCAACGTACAGTCACATAATTATCGCGATCGGGTCTTGATTGTTCATGCCAGAAGCCAAGTGCGTGTGCCACTTCATGTGCGATAACACCTAACTGAAAGAGGATATTTTCAGATCGATTTAATGATGAAACCGTGCTGACGTGCCTTCTTGTCTGTACCATTTTTATGACAGTGATTCTCGCCTGTGAAACAGCATAAATTCAATACCTTCATTATCAATAAAAAANTGTAATTAAAATGAGATATCATCAATTGTCACGAATCGATTATGGTAGAACATAGCAAAATACCCTCACGTTCGCAATAAATTCTCTTCGTTCACTCATCTAAAAAAGAAGCACATACAAACTTAAACTTTCGCTCGTGTTTCTTTTCGATTATGTATAGAACGAGTACTACAAACATATGATTGATTTACCATATCAATGTCTTTTCATGATACAATTAATTTGGTTGAATCTTATTATTTGCCAAACAAACCAGTTTACATGACCTGTTCGCATTAAAAGAAAAAAAAAACAATTTTTGACTCATTTTTCATCGGATAATATTCTCAAATGGATATATTCACATTGTTTTTCGGTGGTTTCGTTCAATAATTGGATTATCGTTTAGAAATGAATCATCGAATATTAATTCCCACTTTGATCCGTACTGTCAAAAAATCAGCCACCTAGACAATTTACTCACATTCCGTAAATAAACTAGCTATTGATTAGTATGTTTTTCATCGCCATGACTATCCCAAAAAACATTCACAATTGTAAGCATAATTTTTACTTATGTGAGAATCACTCAAATTCATCAATAAATCACTTGGTTTCAGGCTCTACAAGAGTTGAAATTGTTGAATCGAAGCTAGCTCTATCACGAAATGCTTCTCTGTTGTTTCGTGATCGTAATCATATTTTGAGTGGTGCTAACTGTATTGAGCGACAAACCCGTATGCATTCAGGTGACAAAGAAACATATTGCGGTTCACCGAGAGGATGCCGTCCGACATTAGAAGCACATCCATCGACGTCAGTGAATATAATTCTGTTACCTTCCGGTTCATCATTTCTTCTTTCAAAATTTAAACATGTTATATTATGCCAGTGCTGTAATGCCAATTCTATTATGCGTTGTTCGCGTAATGCTGAAATTTATTCAATAATTTTTTAGATAACTTTGAATTTGATATCCCATACATTCCATATGAAACTGATCATAACAACTGTGTGTTTGTTCACCGCATACTAACCACACATCTTCAATTCACTGGTAACGCAGAATTTTGCAACGATATTAAGTCCTCATTGTTATTCGCTTACTATGGGATCCGTCGAAGCTGTAAACGATTGGTTTATGAGGATCCCATCTTCTTAGCTCAGAACTCACAAATTTTCGTTTCGTCCTTCGTCTCTGTTGGACGGTTCGTTCATAGATATCCTTTGCTTGTTCAGCATCCAATACGATATCTCCTGAATATTCATTTTATTCATTGCCCGAGAAAAATTTTCTGAATCGTCGTAACTCCTTCACTCAACGGTGTCTTGCTCACTTGATCGTCACTTCAGGTTCCCGTTTCTTAAAACTTCGTTTCTACATCCGTAAAAAAACAGCCGATTTCAGAGCTAAACTAATTCTTAAAGATTACCGATATTCCAAAATTCAATAATCCCAAAAAAGCAGTATTGAATCAGAATGTGTCCTAGTTGACTAAGCGAGTAAAAATCGTTGATGTTGTACGAGCTGAAGTTCTTTCATAAATAATCAGTTTCATAAATTAACAAAGAAAAGTGCGCAAAATTGAACATCTAGTTGACGGATGTAATGTACAACTTGCGAAGCAACAAGATTGCATTGATTTGTTGTTTAAATCATTAATGGAGCCAGTTCCAGAGATCAACATACCTTACAAACACTAGAATAACAAGCATTTAAGATCGGAGTCTTTTCAGTGAAATTCATATGAGAGATTAGAGCACTACAGAAAGCTTCTAGAATTTCAACGGAGGAAAATTTCAAAGATTCGAAAACTGTGAATCATTCTAATGATGAGTGCCTCGATGAGCAAGATTTTGGCACACTGCTCACTGTTATCAGGCATGAAACTGAGGCTAAGAATGTTTGACCTTCGAAATGTCTGCCATTTTCTTCCGGATTAATACTCTTAGTTGAGTCATCTTTTTGGCGTCGCATAAAATCGTTCAACGCTCTCGACAGCTGAAACAAATATTCAGCTTGACTTGATAAGTGATAGTATTTTTTAAAGAGTGGTGTGCATCGGGTGTGGTTATCCAACTTTTTCTTTCCTTCAAAGAGACAGCTGAGAACAATCCGTAATGTAATTTTTGAATGACATTATTCATTTCAACTAATGCGTTGTCTAATAACGTTTTCCTACTGCGATTGTTCCGACAATGAGTAAACTTCACTCAAGCATAATTAGTTTATTTTGAAACGCCAATAAACTTCACTGAACAAATGTGCTGACGTATGCAGCAAATACGTATTTAACAAAACAAGTTTCTTTCAGTTAAAACACTCTCCCGAAGGACGTTATTTCACATGCACAATGATTAGGTTCTCTTCGCCGAAAAGTTGTGAATTGCCTAATTAAAATTCTCCTTCACTAATTTATCGCTTTCGCCAAGAAGCCGAAGAAAATTAATCTGCATTGAATAAACATACAATCCAACGAAGATAGCTCATCAGAATCAGAAATGGATTAATCTTCTCGTACCCCTTCGTTATAAGAACCTTTTTCATTGCGTTATACTATCAGTTGAAATTGACCGGGCTCACAAACAGCGTATAAAGCTAGTGCGGTTTATACATGCACAGGTAATGAGCGAATAAATGCATGAAACTTTTATGAACATTCATTGAACGGAGCATAAATTCACCCGTTTTTGATTGACAATTCAATATTTGTATGTGAAGAGACAAAGTCATGTGGCTTTATTCAGCAGATACATCAGTTGAGCAATAGACTGCGCAAATGATATGATGACTAGCACATGTGAGCAAAATTACGGCAGCGAAAAAAGCAGAGCGAGAAAAAACATCAGAAAAATGCCAATGAGCTGATTCAATAGTCAGCAATTTCAATCAGTTGATCGGAGGAATGAGTTCAGCTCATGTCGTGAGTTTCAGTTCAATGGATTTTCAAACTATTGTTCTAAGCAGATGCCACAAATTCACAATAATCATCAGTATGGTGTAAATTACGTTCATTACTAACAAATCGTTCAAATTTACAACCTCTCACAAAATATGAATTTGTAACATTTAGGTATCTTCCAATTCTTCTTTCCCGCTCAATTTTAGTCATCAGAGTCTTTGACTTTTCACAGATGAATAAATGAATTTGACATTTCCCTATATCTTTGTTTGTCTAATGCAAATCATTGCAATTGCCTGCTGTAATGAAAGTTCAAGAATTACCAACGAAAATGAATGGAGAAATCGCTTGTGAGGATGAAGAAGCACTAATTCGGTATGTAAACATTCGGTGTTGAACTGGTTTATTCAACCAATTTCAAATGTTATTACAAATTTATCGCACAATGGTATACGCTCACTCAGGTGCTTACTTATCAAAGAGTAGTTAACAACCGTCGAATGTTCATGATAATATGAGCATAAAAATCTGGAGCTTTCACGTTTAATTATTCAAACTGAAGGGTTTAGTTCCCGCAAGTATTTGAAGTGTACACGACAAAGAATTGGAAAGTACGGATGATAATTCGTCATGGTTGAGAACTTTTGAAGTTGTAAAGCTGAAATCACTCGAGAATTCAAGTGACACTTCGTGAAGTAATCGAAAATGGCTGCGAAGATATTTGAGGGAGAAAGTGCCATTACGCTGGTTCACAAAAACGAATCGTGAAACCACTCAAACGATACGTTGCGTTGAAAAAGTGGGATAGAGGCAGACAGGTTCCGATATAATTGTACAGAACTGATCGCGAGTTTTAGAAAGGTTAACAAAAATTTAACTGAAAATTTGTTGTGGACTATGATTTATTGCGAGTGTTATGTGAAGTCTTTAGGAAGGAATTAGAATAAGATATTGATCCAAAGAATAACTCACTTTCGTATCGAATTTTCCGGCCTCAACTTCTTCAGGATGCTGTTTTACTTCATATTCTTTAATTTTTTCCAAGTACTGATTAACAGTTTGTCGTTCTTGAAGTGTCTGGCCAAATGTTAATGCTTTTAAGCGAGTGGAACTTTTGAGGTGATGATCATCAGTAGATGAACTTGGATCTCTTAGAAAGAATGCTGCTGTAGAGAGAAAGGCATACAGGAACAGTTGAAGAAGAATGATTTGTGAAGGGGCAGATGCCATAGAGTGAGCGGTGATTGAATGTTTATCAGCGCAGGCTGATACCACCAATGGTATTATAATTATAGTAAGAGTAGTAATTGGGATATTAATGATGTGTACAAGAAAGAGATAGCAACCGCCAAGCACCACCACACGATCACACAACCAACCAACCACCCCTTTTGTACACTAACTAATGTCACCACCGATTTTATGATTCTTCATCGTTCTATTCAAAACATTGTTCATTATTATTATTGGTATTGTTGCCTTCCTTCCTTCCATCCACCCATCCCATTCTCAAGTGATTATTCATTTCAAGTATACCAATTCTCAGATGATATTATGACGGCATTATGAATGAATCAAGACACTTTATTGAGATGACAAATAATCTCAAAACACTTCAGCGAGTGTGTGCCCTGCCCTGTCTGTAGTATTTTCATGAGCTCACCTTAATTTACTACAATGCGATTCACCGATTAATTTTCGATTACTTTTTCTTCACGAATCAATGGAATTTCTTTGTTTTGTGCTTATTTACTTATTTATATTACTCATTTTTAAAGTGGTGCTGCCCTTCCTTGCATCAATCCAAGCAAAGAGTTTCGATTTGCGGAAACACTCGCTACTAAAGAGTGATTGTTCAATGTTTTGAATCGAACAACGATCTTAAGAAGCTCTCTTCCATATTCGAGCTGAAGTTTGTGAAAAGTTAATTAATTGTGCATTATTGCAAACAAAATGCTCGCAAAGGTTACGTTCACAATGCATGAACACTTAAAACATGTGCTTCATGAAGTGTATGGTGATTTTAAGTGATAATTTCATGAAATCATTCAAATCCTTTACGAAAAACAATTGTTTTCATTCGCTTTTATTGTGCTGATCAACTAAATCATAAATTTGCAGTTTGTCTAAAATCATGATGACCATAACAGCGCGGTTGATGAGTGTCGTAATGAATACAAAAAAACAAATAATAACACTTCGATGAAAACCAGAAATGAATATTGATGGTAATGATAAGAATACTGATAGTGGTCGATGACGGTGAATGATAGTGATAGCAGCAATAGCTTGCACATGAAAGGTAGCATAATTAGTGATTGATCGCTTATTTTCGATGTGATTGTATTTCTTCAGTGCAAAATCATCACTTCGGTTCGTTTATTTCCTCGATGAAACATCAATCAGTCAGCGAAATTCACTGACTGAAGAGTGAAGATGACACGCAGATGGACTGATTTCCAACTGTGACAGCTACTTGATTTGCACCAAAACTGAACAATATTCCATTTTTTGAGTGATTCGTTATTTTTCAGTTGTCATCTTTGAGTCCGAACCGGTTTGATTCGAAAATTTCAACAGAATGCTTACTCCACGTTCTATTAACGGTTTTAACTAATCATTTACAAGCAAGAATTGGTTTTGTCATATTGGTTTGGTGATTAAATGTTTGTTGTTGCATGTCTTCTGCAATCAAATCGAACCCTCTAATGTTCGAATTGGAATCACACGATCATGTGGGTCTCTTCGGAAAGATTATTTCTAATCAAATTTCGGCAATAGCAGCTGTGATAAGTAAGATGATTATGAAGTGTTTATGTCTAGACCAAACACACCAAAATGTTCAGTTGCATTCTATAATAAGCAGGCGTAAGACTGTAACATTAATATGATTATAAGATTGGATTATTTAATGATGTCTAAGTGACTATCGTTCGTTGCTCTATTGCTACACTCATTTCTGTTTCGAATCGAATGAGCATTTCGATCACTTGTAAAAGGGTCGAGTGTAAGTCGCATTACGAGATTGTCAGATGGCTTCAAATCTTGTTTGTGATATGCCTGCAACGAAGCGTGATGCCATCATGATAGATGCAAAAACTCAACAAATAAACCCAACTAGAAAATACCTCACATCAGTATCATCCCAAACATCCTGATCACTTCGAATCAGCGTAGATTCATCACTGCTGTCTCCATTTTAGCTCAGTCAGCCGTGGTCATTGCCTTGATTCATATTGAACAGCACGACGAATCATCAACAATAGAATTTATGATCTTAAATGAATGCTCAAATTCAGTTCAATTTAAAACACATCATGCAATTGTGTATGATAAAGAGATCAATTCTTTTCGCGTGTATATATAATTTATAATCAGCATTCAAACTTTTGGTGATCGAAAATGGTGATAATTAATTGTTTTCCTGATTGTGTTCATGCTTTTGCCTTCAAAACTTGCTTGCTTTGCTACATTTCACTGTTTCACTGAACGACGCGACTGATTCGATTGGTTCGACCAAATTTTTTTTGCCAAACACGCATACAATTTGCGTACGCAGATGATTATGTCGGAACTGGAAAGGCATTTCTTANTTAGTTTTGCTATAAGCCAGTGGAGTTTAATTTTCTGTGCGATTACGTTTCAGTACATGAAAATACGATCTGTAGCGTTTGTAGCTTGTTTGCTTTCTCAGTGTAAGTGTAAAAGAACACGATTTCAGTGCTCAGCAACTCATTCGGCGATTCAGATGGTCACATCACTGTGATTCGTAAGTTTAAAATCAATTCAAGCAATTAATTCAACAAAAAAATGCCATCATAAAAAGTAGTTCCTTGGTTTTGAAGCAACAAGAATAAATCGTTGTGACACAATATCCATTTGGTTTGTTCTTGAATAATACTTCATTATGAGATCAAAATTTCTGGTTATATCAGACAAGATTCTTTCTGCTGCAGCATCTATTAGAAAATCAGTTTCGAATTCTAGTGCTGTGCACGAAACAACTACATCTTCACTGCAGTTGAGGTTGTGATCAGTTCGTTTATGATCGAAATCATTTGAGTTTCATGCGGTTTTGGCAATCGGTTTTCCGGCGTATATATTTGCAGAGAACTACAATCAGCAATAACATGTAATTAGTGTTTGCAATTTTATGACCATTTCTCAACCCAGCATTGTTTTCAATCCCACCATAATCCTGGGATTCTAAAAATACCGACATGTCATGTGTTCAAACATTTTTCTTGCCTTAATGATTACTTGCAAAAAGAATTATTTGACCAATCACACAAGTAGACAAAATTCGCTGACGAGCGGTAGGAATTGATTGAGCTGTTTGGCACGTCTCGAAAAAGATGTTTGGTTTAATGTGAGATGAATGAGTATTTTTAATTGATCCACTATGATTATTAGGTTGAGCAGAGCACTTTTCGTAAGTTCCCCAACTACTGCACATAACGTTATTTTTCCTTCGTCAGAACCACTGTATTGCACAATTTTAATATTATTTGTTGCAGTGTATATATGTGTGTTGTTTTCAAATTTATTAATATTTCACTTTGCCATTGTTATTCTTTCTTTTATGTTATGTTTGAAATAAAAGATGAGGCCATATCTTCATCGCATACGCAGTTCCATCCTTCGTTCCAGTCCTTCTGAGATTTTTTTTTCAAATTTCATCAGAAGCTGTCATCAATGACGGAGGCACATCATCCATTCCGAAATAAGGTAAGCTGATGACGGTTTTTCGTCACATATTTATGACAATCCCAAATTAGACAAAATTTCATTTCAGTTAGCCCCTTGTTCTTACATTAGGCCAAAATTGGACAAAGTTGAATTCTTTCTGAAACTCGTAAAAACGGTCCCAAAATTGATTCATGGGAAGTTTTTGTCAATGACGAACAGAAATCAGCCATTCGAAGATGAGGTAAGATGATGACTCTATTTCGTCATATACTTAAGAATACCCCGCTTAGACTTGTTCTTATATTAGACCAAGTATAGTGGGATTCTCCCCGGAACATGTAAAGCAATCGCAGAATACACTCATGGAAAGGTGTCATCAATGGCGAGGAGCAATAAGCAATTCCGAGATGGGCAAGATGATGACGATTTTCCGTCATATACTCTTGACAACCCCATTCAGATGATATATCCTTTCAATTAGCTCGATTTTCTTATATTAGGCTAAAAATAGTCGAATTCTTTTCGGAACTCGTGAAAACAATCAAAAACTTGATTCATGAGAAGTCTTCCTCGCTGATGAAAAGATATCAACCATTCCGAGATGGGGTAAGGTGATGATGGTTTGTCGTCACATACGAATAGGTATTTTTTCACGACCGTAAACAGATTTTTGGTATGGCCATTTCACGACCGTAAACAGATTTTTGGCATGGCCCATTAACGATATGATCGCATGAATCAATCTGATTAGAAATTTTATTTTTGAAGACGAAAACGAGGCTTGACCTCAATGAAGAACATAGAGTTACTTTGAATAATCCACTTGCTGACGACAATCTGTACTATACGACTCACTTTAAAAATTGTCCTTCCACTAAAACATTCATATCTATCAGATGTTCACATTAGTACCGCACAGAATTACTGATGGCAATCTGCATCGAATTATTAAATAAAACTTTCACTTTTCATTTCAGCATTACAAAGATGCTTTTCAGTAATATTATGAATATTAGTCGAACAAGGAATTAATGAGCAATATATTGAAATGATGAATGGTGCGAGTAAGTTTTAAGTGGTAGCAGTTCACACCACCTATATGTTTCCACATTTACTCATGACAACCATCTAAAAAGTATTATTGTTTATCAAAACAGTCATCCTTCATTTGATTTCTGTGACCTCATCATATTTCAATTTCGGACAATGTTGTCTCACTATCTTACCTCATCACCAAAAGTTTCATCCAATAAATTTCATATTAATTGCAGTTTCCGTTCAGTACTGTTGCAATGTAAAATATTTTAGCACATCTTTTTCGCGACAAACACTGTTTCCCTAGACACTAGCAAAGGCTTGTTATCCCAAACTTATCCGGGAAGGATTGCTTTATTTGCATCATGAATGTGCTGATCTGAGAGGAGACTTGTACGGCATGAAACAATTTATTATAAGAGCATACATGGCAATATATTATAAAACCACTAAAAATGCCTGGATAATCTGAGGCAGCTTCTTAAACTGACCAAAATTCTACGTTTCGAGCCTACAGTTCGGATTTGTTTCACCTGATTAAGTGAGTATTAACGAAATGAAAAACCTAGCTGTAAGCAATTCTGAACCAAAGATAAGCACTGAAACGAGCATGAATTCAAAAACTGATTTCGAAGCACAAAAATTTCATGAAACATGCAATGAATCAACCAAATTATAAACAGTTGGTGAATGATCACTGCATCTGATCGATTTCCGCCAGGATGCTATTTACCTCATCAGTAGCCTTAATTACTTCTTCTCCACAAATGACCTCTCTTTCCGTCGATGGAGTATCTAAATGTATAAGACCGAAAGAACATTTTGTAATGTCCATACCAATAGTCGGCACTCTATATTTATCAAAGTATACACATTCCTGCAAAATCGTTAATGAACGCGAATCAAGCATGGAGGTAGGTTTCGGGGATTGCAGGGATGTTTTAGTTGAGTGCTGCTTCCGTATGCTATTTTTCGTTATAAGTGATCAAGCAGTTCTGAATTACGCAAAAAATTCCGCAAGTAGACAAGTGCACATGTGAATCTGAATTTTTTCGTTGCTTTCACTTACAGCCTCTCACTATTTCACCCTACTCGGGATAGACAGGAAACTGGGATATCGAGCGCTTGGTTATGTGATATTTCTTGAAAGTGAAACATTGCCCAACAACATGAAAACGTATCGAAAAAACAATGTCCATGTTGAAATAAACTCACTGGATTCAAAAAAGGAACCATTCACACAGGAGTGTGAGATCACAATGTAGGCTTCGACTCGAAACAACTCATCTTCTTCACCGGACACCAAGAAGTAGCCATTTTCATCACTTAAGGTCTGGCCCATCAAATCGTCAAGGGTGACTAAATCAATAAAATGTTATCACAAAAATCGTAAATCTCCTCAGTTGCGTTCCGTTACGGTTGTTCGGATGTTTCTTAGCGCAGCTAACCAGCGGTAATTCAGCAGAATTTCAGCTAAGAAAAAGAAAATTGTCATCTTTGATTCAGTGTGCCTGAATTCTGTATGGTCAAGCGACCTCTTTGAATCAAGTAAAATACGTTCGACTGAGTTCAAAATTAATATCGTTCTCTGTATATCTCTGATCTTTTAATTCAAGATTTTTGAACTGACTGTTCCGAGTACTCACCAACATCATAATCGTAAAGGGTGATCCATGCATTCTCCAGTGGTCGCATGCTGCAAACAACATGTCCCTCAACGATGTATTTTTGCACGCTCCCGAACGTGCCGCCGATAATCATCAGTGCCGTTAACACGCCAACGAACTGTAGGGCAGAAGTCCTCAATTTGACACAAGGTCTATCATTAAAGGTGATGTGAATAAGAATAGAAATGGAATTTCGCATTTCGAGGCGACTATTGACCGCAAAATCAATT